TGTAGGTAGTATTCTGCAATAAGCTGTCGTGGTTTGTGTCTGAACTACCTGAAAAAGATATCTCAAACGTGGTGGTCCAATGTAGGTAGTATTCTACAATAAGCTGCCGTGGTTTGTGTCTGAACTACGTGAAAAAGATATCTGAAACGTAGTGGTCCAGTGTAGGTAGTATTCTACAATAAGCTGCCGTGGTTTGTGTCTGAACTACGTGAAAAAGATATCTGAAACGTGGTGGTCCAGTGTAGGTAGTTTTCTACAATAAGCTGTCGTGGTTTGTGTCTGAACTACCTGAAAAAGATATCTCAAACGTGGTGGTCCAGTGTAGGTAGTATTTTACAATAAGCTGTCGTGATTTGTGTCTGAACTACCTGAAAAAGATATCTCAAACGTGGTGGTCCAATGTAGGTAGTTTTCTACAATAAGCGGCCGTGGTTTGTGTCTGAACTACGTGAAAAAGATATCTGAAACGTGGTGGTCCAGTGTAGGTAGTTTTCTACAATAAGCTGTCGTGGTTTGTGTCTGAACTACCTGAAAAAGATATCTCAAACGTGGTGGTCCAGTGTAGGTAGTATTCTTCAATAAGCTGTCGTGGTTTGTGTCTGAACTACATGAAAAAGATATCTCAAACATGGTGGTCCAGTGTAGGTAGTATTGCACAATAAGCTGTCGTGGTTTGTGTGTGAACTACCTGAAAAAGATATCTCAAACGTGATGGTCCAGTGCAGGTAGTATTCTTCAATAAGCTGTCGTGGTTTGTGTCTGAACTACCTGAAAAAGATATCTCAAACGTGGTGGTCCAGTGTAGGTAGTATTGTACAATAAGCTGTCGTGGTTTGTGTCTGAAAAAAGATATCACAAATGAGAAGGTCCCAGCCTAGTCCCAGGCTCTCTCTCTATTCGCTGCTTTGATATATTTAAATAAGTCTTAAAAGTTTTATGCCTGGGTGTGCTGTGCGGAACGCTTCAGCGAGAGAGCCTAGCAGATTTCGGTAAAATGGTCCCTGATTTCAAAAAAGTGGTCCCTGCCTGGCCTGGTTACCAAGCATACCTCATTTGTAAATGGAAAATGTTATGGAAATTTCCTTTGCATTTATAATTATGTCATTAGTTTTGCTCTAATGCTGTCGGAACAATGAAATAGGCTACGTTTCGCTGCCATACGGTCAGAATGGAATAACAGTCTAAATATGACCCGTGTTTACTAAAATATATAGCATTATTATCTCCGACTAAAAATGTTTTGACAACACCGTCATGTCAGGCAAATATTTCCAATCTCCTCAGCAATTTAAACCTGTCAAGTAGAAAGCGTAGTTGTGTATACCAGTATGGTCTAGTGTTGATCACAACTTGCGAGTATATAATTAACATCAACAATTGCTCAAACTCGGTATCGTAAATTTGTATATAATTTTTTTTAGTTGAGCACATTTTTAATACGGTTTAATTTGGTTATGTAGACATCGAACATGTACATGATGAACGAACATTGTCGTATTTATAATTAAACGGTTACTTGTATATATAAATTTTCCGCCATATTAAAAATACTGAAATCTGCTAGGCGTTCTGAAGCACCTTGAGCGGTGACGTCACACCTAGGTGCCAGTCTCGTACTACATCCAGTTTTTTCTCGCGCTTGCTTCAGAACGACTGGGACTAGGCTGAGAAGGTCCATTGTTCTTGTTTCTTGGAAAGAAACGTCCAGGATTGAAAAACAATCAAGACAGAGAGTTAAGATGAAGCACTGTTTCGCCCGATGTCAGGGCTCATCAGCATGCCTAGGAATCAAACTACCACAATTTCTACATTATGGCAAATATTTGATTCCGGACATGGACAGTGAGCAGACTGGTTTTGAGGCGCCAATCATTCGCCTTTCCACAACACACCTTTCCAAAAAGGAGTTTGGTTAGACGCGGGAGACTATATGGGACATTTCAAGAATGTACAGGTGCTCAATTCTGTACATCATCCCAGTCATTTCTAACCCTTTACCCCCCTCCCCTAAACCTAACCTAAACCTACTTAAGTCCTAACCTAAACCCCTACTTTAACGAAATCCCAATTATAACCAGTTACAAAGTTTTCTACGTTTATGATGAACAGAAATGACTGAATTAAAAAGTTCGTCAATATATACAAATAATCAACTGAAGTGTTTTAAAAGTCTTCTGCAGCAAAAGTTTAACAAGAGGCACCCAATTATAGTAGCATGTCTTTGAAGGCAATTTATGTCGAGTACATGAATAAATTCACATACAAGAAGTTTCGTACATATTAAGTTCTTGTCAGGCAGCAATAAAATGTTAAATTAACCAAGTATAAAACTGTTAGTCCCAGAGGGACGATGTTCGCAATTGTTTCTGGTTAGATCCAATAAATGTATGAATTCACACTCGAATGTCCATCTGCAATCTCTTGAAGTTCTTGAAAGAGTATTTATCGAGTGAGGTGCCAATGTCTTCCAGGATCAAACTGATTCTTTAAACTGTGCACTCTTGGTATAGGTTGTTGATAGTAGCAAGTAATGACGGTTCCCTTGGGCAGGAAGTATTGCAAACTTCTTTGCGAAAGTATGGGATTTAAATACAAACACAACAATAATTATGAAGTATATTAATAAAAAGAATGTAATTTAAGTATAAAGATAAACAACGTACTGTTGAAAGAAGATTGAAATGGACGGTACAAAAAGCTAGTATGGAAATACTGCTTACAACATGCACCTTTTCAATACAGTACGTTTACAAATATATCGAAGATCAACAATAATTATGAAATATATTAATTAAAAGAATGTAATTTAAGTATAAAGATAAACAACGTACTGTTGAAAGAAGATTGAAATGGACGGTACAAAAAGCTAGTATGGAAATACTGCTTACAACATGCACCTTTTCAATACAGTACGTTTACAAAGATATTGAAGATCAGCAATAATTATGAAATATATTAATAAAAAGAATGTAATTTAAGTATAAAGATAAACAACGTACTGTTGAAAGAAGATTGAAATGGACGGTACAAAAAGCTAGTATGGAAATACTGCTTACAACATGCACCTTTTCAATACAGTACGTTTACAAACATAGAAGACCAACATTAATTATGAAATATATTAATTAAAAGAATGTAATTTAAGTATAAAGATAAACAACGTACTGTTGAAAGAAGATTGAAATGGACGGTGCAAAAAGCTAGTATGGAAATACTGCTTACAACATGCACCTTTTCAATACAGTACGTTTACAAACATAGAAGACCAACATTAATTATGAAATATATTAATTAAAAGAATGTAATTTAAGTATAAAGATAAACAACGTACTGTTGAAAGAAGATTGAAATGGACGGTGCAAAAAGCTAGTATGGAAATACTGCTTACAACATGCACCTTTTCAATACAGTACGTTTACAAAGATATCGAAGATCAACAATAATTATGAAATATATTAATAAAAAGAATGTAATTTAAGTATAAAGATAAACAACGTACTGTTGAAAGATTGAAATGGACGGTACAAAAAGCTAGTATGGAAATACTGCTTACAACATGCACCTTTTCAATACAGTACGTTTACAAATATATCGAAGATCAACAATAATTATGAAATATATTAATAAAAAGAATGTAATTTAAGTATAAAGATAAACAACGCACTGTTGAAAGAAGATTGAAATGGACGGTACAAAAAGCTAGTATGGAAATACTGCTTACAACATGCACCTTTTCAATACAGTACGTTTACAAAGATATCGAAGAGCAACAGTAATTAT